TGGAGAGTATTTCATTTAATAAATGTTTTGTTTTGACATATAAATTGTTCGAGTTTTTTCATCTAAAAAAAGGCGACATTAATTTCTTGACGATCTAATATAACTAAGGTATCGGTGGAACATTAGGTCATATGAAAATATTTTCGATACTTTGTTGTGTATTAGATCAACAATCTGTCAGAAATGTGATCTTTCAGTAATTATCTGCAATCAGCAAAAATACTCGTTATTTTTTAACTCGGAAAGTAAAATCATACCAGAGATTGGGCCCCGAGAAGACGAAAGAAAGCAGAAGTGTGGCCACTCTTTCAAAAGTTAGGTTATTTCCTAGAGATTTGATTTATATTTATTGCAATAAATAAAACTGTTCACTGGAAATACCCCTATATCTGGCACCAGAGAAGTTTTGAAGACCATCTCACGGATCTTTTTTCGGACTTCAGTATGAGAACCACTGTGTAACATAACTAAACAAACAGAGATGTTTATCCTTACTATTGATTTGATTTGTTTGAGTTAAGCACAAAGTTACACAATGGGCTATCAGTGCTTAGCCCACCACGGGTATCGAAACTCAGTTTCTAGCGTTGTAAGTCCGCAGACATACTCCTTACCATCGATGATTATATAGGAAATGAAAGCTCTAATATCTTAAAAGTTCAGTTGTAGATAATGTATCCAGTAAATTATTGTCGGAAGATGACCTTGAAGGAACCCCAAATCAAAATGACATATAAAACTGAATGCTTCATAAAATGTGGGGAATATTTCTTCTATAAACTAATGTTTTGATAAGGATTGGTGGCGCTGGAGAGTAAAGACGATTCAAAGCTAAGCTAAGGTATATTCTTTAGTGTCGAGAAAAAACAAATATTGGATTAGTAGGCCTTATCGTTAACTGTTGAAGTAAAATGGAACAACTGAGTTAGGCCACATTACTGTCAAAAGGCCTGACTTCACTGTCTTAAAAAAAATGTATCAAATTATATTATATTAAAAAGATGAGAAGTTAGCTGCTTATTTAGCTAGGCATTATAGATTTTATTCTAAATTATTGTAATAAAAATGTTTATATTTTTCTCAACTTCTTTCAAGTATTTTAATTAATTTTGAGTTACTAAGAAAATACAATAGTTATATTTGATTAATTTGCTTAGTGTGCGCAATTAAATGTCATGTTGTTAATGGTAAGTTTCATTTGCATTTGTTTGCTCTGTTGCTATGGTGTCGAAAAGCGACTAGCGGTATTCATTTTCACTTCTGCAATCCTTTTTTACTTACATTTGGAACTTGGCGTAAAAAATATGCACACTAATAATGAATAATTAAATAAAGTAAAATAAATTAATAAACAAATAACTAAAGTTGCCTCCTTGTTGCGGTGGTTAGAAATTAGAGATGACACCATGCTACCTGTACTACACACTGACAGTTGTGCTGCGATAGGGCTCAATAACTGGAAGAAAGAGATCCTGTATTTTGGACGGTGCTAAAAACACTTCTAGCGTGTAACCACAACAACACTTTCACCAATTTCTTTTGGGTGATTCGTCTCAGCTTCTATACAAGTCTATATAGTCTTTATAATATCCATAGTGAGACTTTGTACAAGTTGCGAGTTTTCCACGGGAGTCTATTTTATTTTTAGTTTTTTTCATGTATTATTTCACGACATTTTCTGCATCATTGAAATCACTGTCTTGCTGAAAGCTAGATCCTCTGTCCAATAAGAGTTGTTCCTGAGAGAATGGCACGATAGATAATAATCTGATTGTATCTGTAAGCAGTTAGTGCCGTAAATTTTGTGTCAATCTCCAACACTATTGAGATGCATCCCATATTTATATTGGCCCCCGAGCCTACTTCACTATAGACAATGTAATCGGCAGTGATATCGTTCTTCTCTCTGTCATCGAACAAATTATCCTATGGAGTAATATTTAGCAACCCAAACTTGGAATTCTACAAGTTTGCCATGTGACATTTATATCAGGAAGGCATGAGTGCACTCACCTCACTGCTGCTGGGAATAGTATGACTGGCTAAACTTTTATAGATATTATGTTGGTATAGTCACCGTCTGAGTGGTTGGATAATATTCAATCACAAAGCAAGTGAGTGCATTTTGGTGTTAATTTTTTATTCAATAGAGGGGTGCAATCCCGTATATTTGCATATCAATCCCATTTTATTCAGTTGCCATGATTATTACCAATATTGTGTGTGTGTCTCTCTCTCTCTCTCATATATATATATATATACCCACACATATACATACACAGACACACACAGATATATATATAAATAATGTCTAACAAACTGCGTTAATCAAACTCACATAGACACTTTGTTTGTTCGATTTTGTTCTTTGTTATTGTGCAAGAGCAACATCATGGGCTATCTGTTCCGTGCCAATCATGAGTATCGAAACCCGTTTTTTAACAGTGTAAGCCCTCGGTCATACCGCTGAGCCAATGGGAGACCTACATTTCATTACAGAAGAGCTCATTTTGACAGAAAATATCTCTTTGAATTATTATATTTATCTGTAGGAAATCCAATGCAAAATGTGAATGCGTGTAATAACATACAATAAAAAACAGTATATGAAACACCTTTATTTTTTAGATCTATGTATTCAGTTCAAAAACGTCTTAAAAAATATGCTATTTTTACTTTTCTAGGAAACCAGAGGTTTCTCTCTCAAAATTTACCTCTGATAGAACCATATCCATTTATGATGTTCCACGTAGATATAATAAATCTGCGTTTTTAGAATAAATTTTGTGAAAGTATAACTTTTGATATCACATTTTCAATAGAACAGATTAACAACATACGATTTGTACGGTGTGAAAACTTTAGCCTTGTGTTAAAATAATCAATAGCATTTTAGCTTTCTCTTCAGTTAATCATTTTTATATTAAACTGCACGTAACAATAATATAGGTTCAACAGTTCGTGATAAGCTTCTTCACAGGATTAACTGTTTTCAGTAACTGTGCTGAAGTTCATTTGCGTATCCTCACTGCGTTTGTGTGCTGGTGTCACTTCAATATTTCCTGTTTTTTTGTGGGTAAAATTCTCATTATCTAAGTCCTATGTTTAATTCCATAGATTCATCATTATCTTTGTCCAAATGTTTATTTATATATATATATATTATAGAGCATTCCTTTACATCTGTATTCAACATTTTCCTGTGAAATGAAAATGCTGTCTTACTCCTACTTTTTTCACTCATATTTCACTTTTTTCAAAGTTGAAATCAAAGGGATGTATTGAAAGAAATTATACACTATACAGTCAAGACTTCGAGAAAGAATGAATGCATCAGAATAAAGTATTAAGCCACACATCTAAGTACACAATAGAAGTTCCTACAAACACAGACAATGGATCAAATATTGATGCTACCTTCCACATACCTGTGAAGCCACCTGACCGCACATCCACGACTTCTGCACATTTTGCTTGTTCGAACACAGTCTTGGAATGCCGATGTTCACGTATAGTGAAGTGTGTGTGTGGAACATTTGTCCAAATATCTGTTCTACAATTGACCTTATTTTTTCTTTAGAAGTTGTTACAATGTAAATTGTAGCTTCGGGCAATAACCATAGCCATCAGATTAAGTACTAATGACGATGGGAGAAGTAGTTCTATGGTCATCACGGGATCTGGACCGTCACCCTTACAGTGCCATTTACCTTCGGTAATGTTGATTACGCTATATAAAATATCAAAAAGTAGGAATTCGATCATTGGTAAGCTGACACTCATCGCCACGCCCCAAACTTTAATACACTTGTTTTCTGTTTGGAAGTTAGGTGTAAAGTAACATTGGTTAAAGCTGATAGAGGGTGAGAAAGTGGTCGGCCATTGATCAGTCTCGAAGGAATTAGAGGATTATAGTAATCTGAGTCGTTAGAAAATTATTGGCGTGAACAGGTGAGAAGGTATAGCGACCGCTCTTCTGAGTTCAAACTGTATGGTGGCTAGTTTAACACCAGCGTTCGGATTTTGTCTCGTTGATGAGATATCCCCAACGCATTTGGGAGCTATTACTGCAGACAATATCCGTTATGCTTTAAGGTGACGACTGGGATTTACAATAGATTTTGCTAAAAACTTCTTGATGCTTATTATATATATATATATATATATTCCTAATTTCTAGTCTTCATAACAAAAAATAAAAGAACAGATTTGAAATGGATGAAATGACTCAAACACTGCTGCAAGAAAATTAATGACATTAGCGATCTTCCATGTAGACACGGGTAAATTATAAAAATACCATACACATAAACAGATAGTCAAGATAAGTCAGATATGCTATAATCATTCCACACCTTTCTCTGGTTGAAAACTCTCCATTTTACAGTTTAAAAAATTCGGCAGAGTCATAAATACTAGTGTTAATACCTAGTTGTCAGCTGCTTCTGAATTTTATATTTTCTGCCTGCACATTCAGGCTATCATATCCTGAGGTATTGTACTATTTATCTCTAAAACACATTCAGTACTTACTTCGGCAGGAAAAGCATATCCACCAATGGAGTGCTCTGAACCTCTGCTGTCCACCCTTCCATAATGAATATGAATCTCGTGGAAACGGTATTTGTAGGACAGAGGGCCACCCGTAATGTTTATTTTGGCCACAGATGGGGTTGTATCTGCCTCGAAAATGATGCTGTGCCCAGTATTTTTTATCGTACCGCTGACCTGAATAAATTAAAATGTTAATAATTTATCCATTAATCTGATATCCGATAGATGTACTAATTGTATTAGAAAAAAAAAGTAACAACATACATATGTTTCTAAATGTTATTTAGATTCTTCATAAGAATTTTTGGCGATTATTTGCTTTTGCAAAAATCCATCGGAGATAAAATAAAACCTTTCATAGACTAACGTGAAATAATTAGTTTTCATCTTAGGAGAAATATAATGTAAAAATAACAACAAAAAATAACAATTCAATTTCGTTACATAAATTACATGTGTCTTAAGGTGCTTTTAGTCTTTACTATACGTAATATAGAATGTCGAAAATTTCTTTCAATATAAAAAAGAACTCTCAAACAAACTCCACTGCGTAAAAATTTGTTTTATAAGACTTCAATGAAAAATATGCTTTAAACAAATACATTACTCTTTTAGCTTTTTTTTCTAAATCAGAGATTATTATTTTAATATTTTAATAACGTTATTTTTATTTCAAAGCAACGTTTAGTTCATAATGTGTTTGAGGAAATTAATACAAAACCAAAAGTACACCTGTAAAACGAGCTCGTCCTTCCCAGCTGTTAGTATAGCGTGATGATCAGCGTATGCGTGAATGACGACATTCTTCAGGAAGCAGGCGTATTTAGTTTTACTGCTTTAATTACTTCATGTAAAATATTTCACACACACCCACAAATTATTTTCATGAAATGAAATAAGCTACCGTTTGACGTTAACAAGTTTGACGCACTTGTCAATAATCACTATTAAAACTACAGACGCTTTCGACTAGCCTAAATGTAACAAAGTATCTTACCGTGTATACACGTGTACGTTTCACATTTGTGTGGTTTTAAGTAATTAGCATACAGACTTCAACATGCTTGCGCGAAAATGGATCAACATGCACAAGTTAAAACAAAACATTCTCAACGTGTTTGGTTGCATCAAATTCAAAGAATCCTGCGATATATGGACTTAAATAGCATCAAATCAGGTTTAATATCTCAACTTCTGACTAATATTAATTTTGGTTTAGTTAGAAGTACACGTAGCAAAACCCTTTATTACTATAGTCCCAATACTAGTTCGTAGCCAAGTAAATATTTGCAATACTTATAACAATTTTAAAAAGTAAAACGAACTTAACCGTGGTATAAAAAGTGGAAAATTTAAATTTAGGTGCTTTATTTATCTAAAAATTCTCAAAACAAATACAAAAGAGTAGAGTTTTTGTGATGTTTGCAAGTAAGTTCATAATGAATTCGGTCATTTATGTCTTCGTTCAAACTGTAACGATATATAAGTGCAAAACAATATTTAACTGGAAGTTACTCACAGTTAGAATGTGTTTCGTTAAAAGTTAAACTATGGTTGCTAATATTTCAAAACTCCCTTTAAAACTGCTAGTACGTAACGCTGCCTTCATAATTTCTCCAAAATCGTGTAATTGAGGTTGCAATTAGTTGACATTATCCCAGTTTCTCTGTCTTGTTAATAAGATAAGACATAAGCGTTAAATCTTCAATTCCTAATCTGCAGAGTCTATTCAATGCAAAGCCTAAAATCAGGAGATTACTTGACATAAGAAACCATGACAACCTACTAATTTCTTGGATTAAAGAAAACTATTAAGCATACGCAAACAAATGCTCTCTCTCCTAATGCGTACCAGGGTTCACATAAATACATAAATTATTTATTAAAATGTCTTTAAGGCGTAGCTTTATAAATTAATAGTTCATTCCGTACTTCATTCAACTGTGTACTTAAGTTCCAGCTTTCTGTGTTTAATAAATATAATGGTATCATTATATATATTTTAGAAGCATATGACTGTATTGTTATGTGCAATAAAAAAACTGAAATATTAGTTGTTGCCATTAATGTTACACAACAAAAAATTGTTAAATGTATAATGTTCCTCGTATCTTATATGACAGAACTAAGCACGCATTTTAAGCGCACGTGCTCATAGTTAATCTTAAGGAAACCTACTGAACTATTTACATAATTTACAGAAATTCTCCTGTATTAGTTCTCTTAACAACAAAAGTTTTCATTAACTGTACTAAGTCATAAATAGTTCATGATTTAGGTTTTGCATTATTATTTATATATTGTTTTTCAAAACATCTTTGTTACGAGATAAAATAGTTTTGTTAATAATTTTAACCATATTTTATTTGTGCCCGACTGAAATACCTGACTGTTAAACAGTTACAGAAAGAAAATTAGTATTTATTGCTTTAAATTAAAGTATTTTGGTTATTTAGATTGAAAAATAACCAAATATCAATCTATTCTCATCTCAGCTTTCGAAGCATCAACATTTTTTAAACAAAACTATTCAACTTGCACGAGCACGCCCTTACTCTAAATTTGTCCACGTGGATTAGGCGTAGATAGGGATCAAAGAGCAAAGCCACAGGATCTATATCAATAGGAGATTGGCGACGACCTTTGTTACACAGACTCCACTCTGGATTCAATAAGCCCCAAAAGTTAGGCCCTGAAAAATGGAAACGATAAAATATATTAACCTGACACACTTCTTCGTCAATTTCTTTAAGAATATGATTCCGAATGCCACACAAATGGGAATGCATCAGATTTCTATTTTACAGACTTCTTCAAAAGGTTTCATAAAATACGACTCAGTTTGGAGTTTTATGTAGATCAGTACATTCTGACTAAAACAAAAATTACCCGAATATCTAAATAGCCTTGAGAAATATGAATTTGTCTCCTCTAAATGACAGTTTAGTTATTGTGAAAGATTCACACTTCTGATCAGAAGTTATCACCAAAATATTTTATTATGAATGTAGGTGAAAAGGGAAAAGAATCGTCTGTTTTAGAGACGTACTTAGCAAGCATAAAATCTTAAAAAGCTGCTAATTCTGATTAAGGGACGCTTGATATATTTATTTACATTACAACCAGAGCATTTAGGTATGAAAAATAATATCAGAGATTCACAATTTCAAAATACGTTAACAGCAACAGTAGACAAGTTCTTATTTTGATAATTAGAACGTTTCGACCCGTGGTATCGAATCATCATCCTTTTATGTTAATGTAACTCTTACCTGATGATGACTCGACACTACGAGTCGAAACGTTGTAATTATTAAGATAAAAATTTGCCTACTGTAAAAGTTGATGTTATTATGTTTGAAATTAATTATTCATTCAATAGAGTTCCTCATTAAACATTAGATCCTTGTTTTATATGAATTCATAGGATGAAAAAATATCAAATTATTAATCACTTCTTTCTTTCGAAGATATTTTACATTAGACAAGAGAAGCTGTTCCCATGTGAGCTAAAACAGTCTCCGAATACACACATGCCCACACATCTAGTACAGCTTTAACTAAGCTGACAATAAATATTACAGTTATACTTAGATTAAAGTTTAGTTTGTTTCTATGGTTGTTGTTAAACTCAAAGCAACACAATGGGCTATCTGTACTCTGCCTTCCGCAGGTATCGAAACCTGATTTTTAGCGTTATAATCCCTAGACTTACCGCTGAGCCATTGGGGCCTTACATTAAAGGGTTTTGTAGACGATTATTAAAACATGTGCGAGTTAGAATGTGAAAAGTCTACGTTCGAAAACAAAACTATATCATATCTAAAATATATTTTCAGAGGTGTAGTCTTAGGAAAAATATAGTGCTTGAGCTATAGGATTTTCAAAATTGGAAGATCTGAAACGGCATCAAAATTTGAAACTTAGCTTTTAAATCAAACGCACGAAACAGTGATTTCTGTCTAGTGTCCCATCTAAGTTTCGTTTGATTACGTAAAATTAAAAAAGATATACATATTTTCGTTTAATCTAGTCAATACTTTACAATAAAAATCGCCAGGACTCTCACAACATCTATACAAAAAGTGTCTCGACTACATCACTGAAAATTAAGAATATTTAACTTTATTTTTGATTAAATTATTCTACGAGCGTATCTTGCTTCTAAAGAAGAAACTTCGGGTTTTTTTTTAACACTTTGCAACTTTATTCAGCTAGTAAAATTTCTTATTTTGTAATACATAAAATTTCATTCGTTTTTCAACAAAAGTATGAGTATTACCTCCTGCTTCAGTGCAAATTGTTATTCCTAAAAGAGTATTACACGATAATAACTTAGCGCTTAGCTACAGCTACTCTCTTTTTAAACAGTGATTTGGGTGTTTTTGTTTTTGAATCAGTTTACTCTGCTTCAGATAAATTTACAACTAAACACATTACACAGTAGAGAAAAAGATACATCATAATAACAGTTTTACATATGACATGGAACCAAATATGAGCAAAGATGTAGAGCAAAAACATACATTAGGTTGTAAAATTTACAGCATTGTGTATATTTTACAACGATTTACATCCAGTACTTAGTAGAAGCAAACGTAGAGATAGCAAAAACAAAAGGTTGAAATGGGAATTGCAACCCAATAGTAAAATAAATAAAACTGGAGAAGTGTGCTCTACTACATGTGTATCCGGCCTCAAAAAAGAAATAGAAGCCAATAAAAATTAGTTCTGTATCTCTGCCTACGGTATTAGGAATCTACAGATGCTGATGGCACGCTGACTTCTGAAAGGTACAAGCATATTCTTATCCATCAAATCATTTCATCACGAACAAGACCTGTTCAGTAAGAATTCATCTTCAAGCATGAAAATTATCCCAAACATATAGCAAATGTAGTGAAATGATGCTTCTAAAACAAAGAAGCTGATAATACTCTCACAACTGTAGCTTAGCCATTACAAGCTATCGATATGAAAATTTTAAGGCTGTATGGACTAAAGTAAAAACAGTGCTGCAAAGAAAGCAAACACAACGGATTCAAAGGAATTACGGAGGCTCATCTATTTTACATAACATTTTTACATACGTTCATTATATGAATGAAAAGATGATTTTAAGACCTTGTAAGATCCATCTATCTATTGTTATAGAACGTTTATCTTAAGTACTTTTTACATGTGTAGGTTTATACCTAAAATGCCATGAACTAATAAAGTTCAAACTTCTATTTTCCCCTTAAATGATTCCAGTTAAGCAACTAGCCACGAGTAGAATAATACCCTATCCTATACTACACTAATTTACATCTAATAATACCTTAAGCATATTTTTCTCTCGTTCTGAGTGATGATATAGTTTGAGAGAGTATCTGTCCCAACTAATAGAATATAGAGTTTTAAAAGAAAAAATTTAATTAGTTTATAATTGAAGTACACGAAAGGGTCATTATTTCGTTGGTTAATGTTTTCTTTATATTCATTATTTTATATTGCTTTAATCAATTAATACTTTTATCAATATAATAAATACTTTATAATGAAAATCAGTAATAAATAAGGCGTATCCAACTTCTTAAAAAAATACTTGATGAGCAGGTACGCCTTCACTTTACTGCACTTCTGGTTCGAATTGTAATTTAAGAAAATTTTTGATACTTACTTGTGCTTAGAAGATCTGAAGAAAAGCTATAGAATAAACCGACGTCTGGTAGTGTATTCAGTAAAATATTAATGTGATTCCTGAAGTGCAAAAAATCTAACTACATTTGAATTTTCGCATTAAAAGTTTTTTACTTAGTAAGTCTAGTAGAGGAAATATTTTCTCAACCTACTTCTCATGAGTTACATCTTATCCGACATGATTAAAGTATTATAACAAAGAATCACCAAAACTGTCATTTAGGTTTCAAAACACACAAAAAACTCGAGTACTTTCGAATAGTTGTCTATTTTTCTTCAGGAGTATAAATGCCCTTGAGTTATATCTGATAATTTAACGTAGCATATTGATTTATAATGAGCATGTGCTATTGAATATTGTGAAAAAAACATTAAGCAAATTCTACAATCCTCTTTTCCACAAGGTTATGTTTGAATTAATGTTTTGTCTCAACAGTTTGTTTCTTTTATCTTAAATATAGTATACTTCTAACTCTTCGATTCTGTTGCTTAGCGTTTCGTTGTGAGCAAGGCTAAATGTGATCAAGAGCTCGTATAAAACAATATTTAACGCTGTCCAGTAGAGTGTAGTTTTCCTTTTATTATTCCAAAGATTGAGTGTCAGTGTTATATGTCTGAAATTTGAGACTCTGTGTCGCAGAATGAACGGGGGCCGAGAGCCGCCTGGAGAGATCGCATATTTTAACCACTCGCATTACTGTACAGTAGTGTGTTATCTGTCAGTCAGTCAGTAGACTCTAAAATGACAGCACATAAGGGACGCTTAACGTTGCAAGTTGTATTGTCGTGACGTCAGTAAAACATGCACATACCATGAATCGCGAGAAGAATTATACACTCTGTAGGCTAGAACACTGTATAACATATGAGCTTTAAAATCAAGAAATAAAAATATTTATTACTATTAATTTTGGTTTTATTTACTCTTGAAACAGAACACTTTCGTGGACCCTGCGGAAGTACATCTAGTACCTTAGCATTACTTTAGCCACTAACATGTTCCATTGTTTTAATACTTGCATTGCTTATTGACAGTTTTGCTATCACTCCTGATAAAAGTACTAGACACAACCAATTCAGAATCTTAAAACTTGTCAACCTTAACACAAATAGTAAGTATAACCAGTTCAGAATATAAAATTGTATTGCGTATAAAAGTTTAAAATAATCAGCTTACGCAAACTAAAAACATGCTACATCAACTAATGAGCAAAACAACAAGATTAGTAACCTTGACAAGAGGAACGTATTTTTGAATTACTTCTTAATTAAGTGCCTGACACAGCCACAAAGAACTTCATATATATATATATATAATGCGTACTATAAGGGGTTAGTCGTGTTTTAATATTTTGGGTCTTATAACTCAATTTCGATGTTTTAGTTATCATACTGTTTTTTGTTTTGTTTCATGACAAACATTTTAAAGATATTGTTTTGTTTCATGACAAACCTTTTAAAGATATTGTTTTGTTTCATAACAAACCTTTTAAATATATTGTTTTGTTTCATAACAAACCTTTTAAAGATATTGCCGCCGTCCATAATTTCAACTGACAATCAGTTGCATTTCCACTGGCCTTACTAACGAATAATTGGATCGACCATCACATAATAACGACGCTACGGTTGAAACGGGAGAAAATATACGGAGCCGACTTTCGAATCCGCGACCCGTAAATTGTGAGTCAAACGCTCGAACTACCAGATCGTGCCTGGCCCTGACATACGCTTTGTATTTATGGAACGAATATTATAAGCACCTAAATAACTGACTCAAATAACAAAAAAGATGTATTGAACTCATAGCAATGCGTAAAATATTGGTTAAAATAAATAGTTTTACGATACTGAACACAACAGCCTCAGCAGCTACAGTAATAACCAGCATCTGACAGCCTCAGCAACTACAGTAATAACCAGCATCTAACAGCCTCAGCAGCTACAGTAATAACCAGCATCTGACAGCCTCAGCAACTACAGTAATAACCAGCATCTGACAGCCTCAGC